GTGGTTTGAGTCCTGGACCTGGTAGCTTAAACTCACACTGGGTGTGTGTGCATGCATGCCCAAGATCCCAAGAGGAGAATGGAGGAAAAGGGATTGTGGCATGGCCATCCCCATTGGGGGGTGATTTCTCACTTTGTGTCTCTCTATCTCTCTGGTGAGCACATGTGTCCTATAGCAAAAACCTCTCAAAAAAAAAAATCACACCAGGTACGTGTGCATGCATACTCCGAATACCAAGAGGAGAAAGGATTGTGGCATGGTCATCCCCACTGGGGTGATTTCTCACTTTTTTCTAACTCCCTCCAGCAAGCGCATGTGCCCTATGACAAAAAAACCTTAAAAAAGATATGATCACAGAAATGAAAAATGTAACAGAAAGATAAAAAAATAAAGTTGAGAAAATCCTCCAGAAAATGGAGCAAAAAAGGCAACGAGATAGTGAATAAGAAAAAGAAACTGGAGTAGCAATCCAAGAGATCCAACATTTGAAGAACATGACCTCCAGAAAGAAAATAGAAAATGGAGGAGAAGAAATCACCAATGATATAATTAAAGAAAATTTGCCAAACCTGATGGTCGTGATGTTTCAGATGCAAAGGGTCCATTGATTTATCTCCTAGAGTAGATGGAACCAGACCCAAACCAAGGTATGGCATGCAGCATGACATTTTAGAACACTATGTGACAAGAAAAGATTCCAAGAGTTTCCAGAGAGACAAAATTAAATGATTGAAGTGAAAAAGATCATAGATGAGAACAGATCTCGACTTAAAAAGCAAAACTAAAACTAGAAGTCAGTCAAGGAATGCCTTCAAAATTCTGGCCCGTAATACTCAGGTCTTTGAGTTACCAACTCAAGGGCCTTGCTGACGTTGGAACACAGTGAGAAGTTTCGCTCCGGAGTGGTGCAGTGTGTGGTTCTATGATATCCTTTCTCAGACAGCCACTAGAAGATGTTCACCACTAAGACAAGGAGTAAACCAAGAGAGAAGACGTGGGATTGAAGGTATGGGGCAGTCAACACAGGAAAGAGCAGAGAACCCCTCAGGCTGCTCATGCAGGGAGCCCACACGGCAGCAGCTGGGCTTAGAAGGCAGCCATTCAGACTGGAGCAGGCCAGAGGCTCCAGGGGACAGTTCTTCAAGAAGATTGTTATGGTCTGAATGTTTGTATCCTCCCCAAATTCCCATGTTGTACCCTTTATCCCCAGTATGATGATGTTAAGGAGGTTGGAGGTTGGTTAGAAACCTTGCTATGATTTAACTATGCCCCTCTCCTCAAATTCAGGTGTTGAGCCATCATGATAGGATTAGGAGGGTAAAAACCTGATCCAGTTATTGAACGGAAGGCCTTAAGGAGGAGGTGGACAATGAGGTGGTTGCATCAGGGCCATCATTGAGTCTTGGTGAGTTTATAAGGAAAGGAAAAAGAGGAAGAGAGAGAGAGAAAGAGAGAACATAGACACAGTCTTTTTGTACACACCCGCCATCCTCTCTGCTCCTGTTGGCCATGTTGTCGCCATTCTGATGCCAGCCTCATGCCTTTACATTTACCAGCCAGTAGAATCATGAACAATTAAACCTCTACTTTTCCTCCCCCCTCGCTCAGAGGGTGCATGTGTGTACACGTGCATGTGTATTTGCAAGAGGGAAAGAAGGAAGCAGCTCCACGGGGTTGTGGTCATGTCACTATCCTTTCTCCTGCATTTCTCCATCCTGTCAGCATCCTGTTTTTCAAGCCTGTTTTAACCACTCAAGAAAGCGGTTGCCTCTGGGGAAAGGGCAATATCACTATTATTATTATTTGAATAAAGCCTTTTAGAATATCTTTTAACAAAATTTGTTGAAGGGTATGTGTGCTCCCTAGAGAGAGAGGGGGTAGGGGGACGAGAAAGTACCCCTCAGGGGACATGGCCACACTGCAATCCCTATGGTCCCATCTCCTCCATTCTCCTCTTAGGATTTTGAGAGACCAGCAGTTGGTGTAATGGTTATGTTGCTGGACTCCCACATAGTTGACCACAGTTCGAATCCTGGACCCGGCAGCTTGAAACTGATGCTGGGTGCATGTGTGTATGTGTCCAAAACCCCAAGAGGAGAATGGAAAGGAAAGGACTGTGGCATGGCCATTCCTCCCCGGGGATAATTTCTTGCTTTCTGTCTCTCTGTCTCTTTCTGGCAAGCGCACATGCCCTATAGCAAAAACTTCTCCAAAAGAAAACAAAACAAAACAAAACAAATTGATGCAGCAATTTCCAGGTATTGAGCCATGGCTTAATCAAATCATGCCTAAGAAAGATCCTGTCAAAATAGTCTGATGCCATGAACATGTAGAAATTCTTACAGTAAATGGAGAATTACTATTTTTTAGACAAAGAGAAAGGCCTTTTTTTGGTGGTGGTGGGGGTTGCTATAGGGCGTGTGTGCTTGCCAGACAGACAGACAGAGAGACAGAAAGCAAGAAATCACCTCCCAGGGGGGATGGCCACGCTGCAATCCCTTCTCCTCCATTCTCTTCTCCGGACCTTGGGTGTGCACACAAATGCACCCAGCATGAGTTTAAGCCACCGGGTCCGGGACTCAAACCGCAGTCTACTACATGGGAGTCCAGCAACATAGCCATTATACTAACTGCTGGTCCCAAGAATGTCTTGATTCTTTAAATCTGTGCTTTTCAGGTCCTCAATGAAGGAGACAGGCCTCTTTCCCAAGTGCTTTGTAAACTACAATACCAATGAGTTACTAAACACGCGACCATGCCCTCAGGTGTCAGGGCAGTCCTAACTTGCCACTGAGTCTTCTCCTCAATTCAGACACATATCACCATGAATGGTTTACAGACCAGTACATGTTTGGGTGTGTTATACATAACTTTGATTTTTAAAAGTAGATTTGAAAAAAGGGATGCATGACAATGCAACTTAATTGTATAAGTGAAGATGGTGAAGATGGTAAAAACCCAAACAAGGGACCAGCAGATGGTGTAATGGTTTCGTTGGTAACGGTTCCCACATAGTCGACCGTACCTTCAGTCCCAGACTTGGCAGCTTCAAACTCACACCAGGTGCGTGTGCGTGCGTGCCCAAGATCCCAAGAGCAGAATGGAGGAGAAGGGATTGTGGCATGGCCATCCCCCTTGGATGGTGATTTCTCACTTTCTCTCTCACTGTCTCTCCGGTGAGTGCACACACCCTATAGTAAAAATCTTTCTAGAAAAAAAATCAACAAAAGAAGGCTAATTTAAAAAAAGAATGGCTATTGAAAAAAAAAAAAAGGAAGGAAGGACCAGAAGGTGGCATAATAGTTATGTTGCTGGACTCCCATGTAGTTGACCGCATTGAGTCCTGGAACTGGCAGCTTAAAACTCACGCTGGGTGTGCGTGTGTGCATGCCCAAAATCTCACGAAGAAAATGGAGGAGAAGGGATTATAGTGTGGACATCCCCCTGGAGGGTGTTTTCTCACTTTCTGTCTTTCTCTCTCTCCAGCAAGTGCATGAGCCCTATAGCAAAAAAAAAATCTCTAAAAAAGCCCCTGCAAGTGTTCGTTGCTAGTGAAACTGTAAAATGGGGCAGGCCCCGTGGGGAGCGTTGCTTCAGAAAGTTAGCAGAACTCCCGTGTGACCCAGCGCTTCTGCTCCTAGGCATGTATCAGAAAGAATCAAAAGCAGGGCCTCGGCTGCACTGTGTCTGTAACCACGCTAGCCACAATAGCCCGTGGGTGGAAACGGCTCACATGTCCATCGGCCGGTGAATGAGTAAACAGAATGTGGCCTGTCCACACTGCGGAATCTTACTCAGACATAGAAAGGAATGATGTTCCGATAACATGCTGTGACCTGGATGAACCTTGAAAATGTGATGTTGGGTAGAGTGGTGGTCAAGGTGCTGGGTTCCTACAAGGCCAACCATGAGTCTCAGACCCGACAGCTTGAAAATCACAACAAATAGATAAAAAAAAATTAAATGTTTTTAAAAAAGAACATGATATTAGGCAAAATATGCGAGACACCAAAGGACAAATATTGTATGATTCCGCCTACATGAGATACTTAAAAAAGGCAAATTCATAGAACATAGAACAGTGGTCTCCAGGAACGGGGGTGGGAAGGGAAAGGGTAGTTATGGTTTATGGATACTGAGCTTCTACTTGGGGTGATGACAAAGTTTTGCATACAGTAGCGATGTTTGCATAAGATTGTGAGTATTCTTAGTGCCACTATTGTATGCTTGAACATGGCTAAAATGGCAAATTTTGTTATATATATGTGTGTGTGTGTGTGTGTATATATATATATATATATATATGTTTTTTTATTATCTAAATTTTTTAAAAATACAAGATTTCCCCCCCAGAATACTATGAAAACCATATTTCTCATTTTAGCATGCCCAAGATCCCGAGAGGAGTACGGAGGAGAAGGGAGTGCAGCGTGGCCATCCCCCCTGGGGGGTGATTTTTCTGTCTCTCTGTCTCTGTCTGTCTGGCGAGCGCACGCGCCCTAAAGCAAAAACCTCTCAAAAAAAAAAAAAAAAAAATGTTCAATGATAACAAAAGTTAGGGAAAACCCAGAGGACCTTGTGAAGAGGATTGGATGAGGGACCAGCAGTTAGCGTAATGGCTATGTCGCTGGACTCACATGTAGTCGACCACGGTTCGTGTCCTGGACCTGGTAGCTTAAAACTCATGCCGGGTGCATGTGTGTGTGTGTGCCCAAGATCCCGAGAGGAGAATGGAAGAGAAGGGATTGCGGCATGGCCATCCCCCCCTGGGGGAAGATTTCTCGCTTTCTGTCTCTATGTCTCTCTCTATCTGTCGAGTGCACACGTCCTAGAGCAAAAACTGCTCCAAAAAAAAAAAAATAAGAGGATTGGATGGTGTGGAGGTGGGCAGAATTTCAAGAGGTATGGGCAAACCCCTCATAGCTGGAGGGCTGTGGGGGCTGTGGGGGCTGGAGGGCCGGGAGGGCTGGCGGATACTGACAAGTCCCCTCTCTTCACAGACACCACCACGCGTCTCCTGCTTGGGGCCATCGCAGTGCTTCTGTTCGCCATCCTGGTGGTGATGAGCATCCTGGGTGAGCATGCATGTCAGGGCATGTACGCAGCGCAGCTCACACGCACCATGGCGGCAGCGCGTGTGGTGAGGCGAGGAGGGTCCAGACGTACTAGGAATTCTGTGTGGAACAAAGTAAATGGAAACCATGGCGTTGGCTGTTGATGAGATTTTAACCTAAAACGACGTGCTCACACCTGGCCTGTACACCCCTTTATGAAGCCACGTCGGGGAAGAGGAGCTGTTACTTGGGTACTGCTTCATAAATGCTGTGAGAACTCGGAACACACTCGGGGTGGGTTAGGAAGGCAGAGCCTCCTGGGGAGACAGTTTGGGGATAAGGGCCTTTCGAGATCACATCCGGGACAGCCCGTGGCGTGGTGGTTATGGCAGCTGGATCCCACATGGCCCATCATGTGGTTTGAGCCCTGAACCTGGCGTCTTAGGAAATACACCAGGTGCCTGTGTGCACATGCCCAAAATCCCAACTGGAGGGAGACATGAAGGGAAGGGACTGTGGTGTACCCCAGAGTTCTCCCTGACTTTCTCTCACTCTCCGGTGGGCACGTGTCCTTTTTTCTTTTGAGAGGTTTTAGCTATAGGGCGTGTGTGCTCACCAAAGAGACAGAGAGAGACAGAGAGACAGTAAGTGAGAAATCACCCCCTGGGGGGATGGTCATGCCGCAATCCCTTCCCCTCCATTCTCCCCTTGGGATCTTGGGCACGCACACGCATATACCTGGCATGAGTTTAAGCCACTGGGTCCAGGACTTGAACCACAGTCGGCCACATGGGAGTTCAATGACATAGCCATTATGCTAACTGCTGGTCCCAAGAGCACATGTCCTTTAACAAAATTAAACAAACAAACAAACAAAAGACATGGCTTAATTCCTTATAGCAAGGAGGCCCTTTGAAAATCTGACGGACACTCTAGGTTTCCCTGCCCGTGTCGCTTGTGTTTCTGTTCATGCAAGCGGTCTGAGCCCAGCAGCCCATGACAGCTAGAGCGCATCTAGTGGCCCCACTGCTCTGGTTGAGCCACACCTAATGTGCCCTGGTCTGTCGTGGTGTGGCATGCCAGTGGTAAGGCAGGGACAGTGAGCAGATGGGATGACAGGTAGCCTCTGTAAGGAGTCGTAGAAGAGGTGGCACCTGTTTAAGCCTGGAGGACAGGAGGCTAGTGTCCCTCAAGTAGGAGGTAGGAGATAGGACAGGTTTGCTGGGGATCAGTCCAGAGGGCACATCCTAAAGCAGTAGGCCCAGGTCAAAGGAGGGCAGCTTGGGACTCAGTATTTAAAAGGAACTTTGCAGACCAGCTGCTGGTGTCGTGGTTAAGGCTCTGGATCCCACATGGCTAACCGTGTGGTTGAAGTCTTGGATTTGACTTCTTGCAAAACACATGTGGTATGTGTGCGTGTGTGCCCCACATCCTGAAAGGAGGGAGATGGAGAAGGGATTGCAGAGTGACCATCTCCCACGGAGGGTGATTTTTCCTTTCCCTTTCTCTCTGTCTGTCTCTGACAAGTGCACATGCCCTCCAGCAAATTAAAAATAGATAAATGGGACCAACAGATGGTGTAATGATTGTGTCACTGGACTCCCACATGGCTGACTGCAGTTCTAGTCCTGGACCAGCTTGAAACTCAAACCAGGCACGTGTGTGCATGTCCAAGACCCCGAGAGGAGACTGGAGGAGAAGGGATTGCGATGTGGCCATCCCCTCTGGGGGGTGATTTCCTGCTTTCTCTCTCTCTCTCTCTGTCTCTGTCTCTCTGGCGAGCACACATACACAACAGCAAAAATCTCTCTAAAATAAATAAAAATAACTTTTCTGGGGCCAGGCAGTGGCACAGCAGTAACACAACTGGGCCCACGTGGGAAAGGCCCTGGGCATACTTCCAGAACCTCCTTAGCATGTTGGTGCACACATGTACGCCCATGTCCAGGCCGGCTGGCGCTGTAAGTGGACAGCGGTGTGAGGATCCTGGTAGGGATTCTCCCCCTCCCACTTACATGGAAGAAATAAATAAACTTAAAAAAATAAATAAAAAGAACTTTCCAAGGGACCAGCAGATGTCATAATGGTTACATTGCTGGACTCCCACATGGTTGACTGTGGTTCAAGTTCTGGACGCAGAGGCTTCAAACTCATGTTGGGTGCATGTGCGTGTGTGCCCAGAATCCCGAGAGACTGGAAGAGAAGGGATTGCGGCATGGCCATCTCCCCGTGGTGTGATTTCTCACTTTCTGTCTCTCCAGCGAGCACATGTGCCCTATAGCAAAAATCTCTCCAAGAGAAAAGGACTTCCCAGCAGTTCAGTAGCAGACCAGGCTGCCGTGTCAGCCCCCGCGTCCGTTCCCAGCTTGGCTGCAGGGAGGATAACTGACCCTCAGGGCCCTTCCGCATCTGAGTTTCTGGTGTTCCATGACTCAGAGAGTTGGCAAAGAGCTCTTCACCGAGGGGTACTGGCGTCTTGCACCCCCTTTCTCATTCATTTAGTCACCCACCTTTTTACCTCCAGGCTCTGGGAGAGGACAGCCACATCAGCAGTGTCCTGAAGGCACCAAGGTCGAGGCAGCAGTGGGGAGTGGAGTGGGATTCTGGGGAAGGGCCGTAAGGGGTGGCTGGGAGCACTGGCGGATGCAGAGACCCCTCCCTTCTCTGCAGCTTCCAAGGGCTGTATCAAGTGCGAAGCCCCCTGCCCGGAAGACTGGCTGCTCTACGGGAGGAAATGCTACTTCTTTTCTGAGGAGCCGAGAGACTGGAACACAGGGAGGCAGTACTGCCACACCCATGAGGCCGCGCTGGCAGTGATTCAGAGCCAGAAGGAGCTGGTGAGTACGGGATGGGGTGGTGGGATGGGGGCCCTCAGTGCCCCTCCTCCACTCTATGGGGTGAGTGCTGTCCCCTCTGACCTTCTGCAGAGCCTCCGGCCTCTGCACAGCGTGGGGCGTGGGGTTGGACCCTGGAGGCCAGGGCAGGTCCCCCAGTCAGTCTGGCTTCCACTTCTTTTGTCAAGACCACTTGCCCAGCCCAGGGCTGCCTGGCCGAGCTGCTCCGTGTTGTAGGGATTCCAAATTATTGACGCACTTGGGACTTGTAGAAACACATTGACGTTTTCTACCGACCCAAATCAGGACGTGATCTGTCCTTTGACACCTCGGACAGTTTTACCAATAGAAATGAGAAGGCAACCTGAGGAAGGCGTCTATTGGCCATCGTGGGTTTTGAGGTGGACAGTGAGCGGGTAATCCAGAAATCACTTCTGCGTGTCTGACACACAGCGATGCTCCCTCCTGCAGAGACAGTCCCAGAAGCAGGCAGGTAGCAGGACAGCCACCCTGACACTGAGACTTGTCCCAGATAATTGCCTGGTGGGTCAGGAACCCTGGTGATCTGGGAGGACAAGCCTGTGCCAGTGTTGCCCCAGGGCCAGGGTCCCTTTCAGGCTGGCGCGGCTGGGAGATCCGAGATGCTCTGAGCAAGCAGTGACTGCAGCGGGCTCTGAACCCTGATCACCTCCCAGAGCCTGCACTTCCCGGGAGCCAGTATCTTCCAAACCGAGGTTAGTCGTGGCACGTGTAAGCTGTCAGGAGACGACAGACGGTGAGCTTTCCTCTTTCCTTGGTGCAGGAATTTATGTTCAAGTTCACGCGGAGGGAGCCCTGGATCGGACTGCGCAGAGTTGGGGACGAGTTTCACTGGGTCAATGGGGACCCCTTCGACCCTGACACGTGAGCTAAGGCTTCATCTTCTGGCTCCTGAGCTTAGACCGGGGAAGGCAGAAGCACCGCTGCCGCCTGCTCAGCCCCGACACAGCTCCCGAGAGGGCAACACTTGGTTTCGTGCTAGCTATAGATTAGTCTCTGATCCAGTGGTGTGTGACAGGGACCCATTTGTGAGAGTGACTTTTCTCTCTGCCATGCAAGTCCATCCGGGCGGCCCGCTCTGCGAGGCTGTCGGGGCTCTAGCTGGAACTCCTGAGTCTGTGCAGTGTGGCTCTCTCGTCCCATTGGCCAGAAGCGGGAGGGAGGAAGGGGAGGGCGTGCCCTGGAGGGTCCTGCTGCACTGGCTGGGACTTAGTCCCATGACCACACCTGCTCCAAGGGAGGATGGGAGATGTAGCCTTTGCTCTGGGCAACCACGTCCACTGATGCCCTGTCACTGGAAGGAAGGGGCCTGAATGCCCACGAGTGTTCTTCGCTACATTGCTTCAGAAGAAGCACTTTTAAAAATGATTTTTAAATTTTTTAATTGATTTAGCAGGTGTGATGCATGAGAGAGAGAGAAGCAAGCACCTTCGAGTGGGCCCGGTGCCGCAGTCTCCCTCCAGCCCTCCAGCCCCTTAGGATCCGGATGCCCATGAGCGCCTGCTGTGTTTTCAGGTCGATCTGGGGATCTGAACCTGCGGTCGGCCGTTTGGCTTCCAGCCTTGAGGGGCACCTATGTTACTGCCATGCCAAAAAGCACTTTTTAAAAAAGTTTACTGGGTTGTTGGAAACATCATAATGTAGTTTTCTATGCAAAAATGCATCACAGCCTTTCTGATGACCCCCTATTTCTTCTGAGAGAGAAAGATAGCACCCCCAAGGGTCTTGATGCCACAGCTCACTCCCAGCCTCAGTCAGTCACGGAGCTGGGCACACGCATGCATGCCCGGCATACTCGGAGAGGTCCCCGGATGTGAACTGGCGACCTCCTGCATGGTCTGGCTCACAGCATCACATTTTAATGCTGCACCACCTCCCGGCCCCCAGATAGCACCTCTTATGGCGGGGCCCTGCTGAGGTGTGGGCGGAGGGCAGGAGTGGGTGGTTGTGGTGGGGGTGGTCTCTTATGTAGGGAGGGGCATATGGGGAAAGGAGGACCTCAGCTTCTCTAGTTCAGTCCCCAGGCACCAGCCAGGAGGGGCACAGCTGCTAACCCGATGATGGTGACACATGAGTGTCCCCAAGGCAGGAGCTGAAGTGAAGGGCACCCATCTTTGCTGGTTTAGGGCTCCCTCAGTCCCTGGCAGCTTCTGTGGGGTCACTGACAGCGAGCACTTTGTCTGTTCTCCTCACCCTTCTGGAAGCTTCCTGCTCTCAGAGGCCTGGAGGCGAGGTGCCTGCAGTGCTGACCACCTGGCAACCAACAGGCCTTTGGCCACCTTTCTCTGACACCAAGGGCATCCTGCCTCCCACACTGCCTTCCAGGTTCTCCCAAGCCATCTCCTGAGAGCACAGCTCCCTGGGTCGAGGTCAGGGTGAACAAATGAGATGAAGAAGAAACCTCTGCCACTGGGAAAGGGTGACTTTAGGAGGGGAACCCTGAAACACATACACGATTTCAGAGTTTCTGGGCAGCACAGCCTGGCTGGGCTGCTGGGGTTACTTGGGCTGCCCTTACCTGTGAGGGTGATTCGGTTCAGCCTATCTCTGTCTGTAGAACACCGTGCCCACCCATGGGAAGCAGGGTGAGGGGACGCAGCCCTCTGCCCAGGAGTTAGGGACAGGGCAGGAGGACAGACAGACCCCGGCTCCCAGAAACAGGCAGGGTGTTGGGGAGTGTGGGCAGAGATGGTCCTAAACGGGGTGCCTCCCAGCATGGGAACCCGTGAGCTCACCCAGAAGGATGGGATGTGTAGGGTGTGTCCGGGAACTGTCCCTGGGCTGTACCAGGGGTGGCTGGAGCCAGGGTACATGGAGGAGGGATGTGGAAGGAAGGCCGAGCCAGAGGGGTCTGTCGGGCTGTGAGTACTGGGTCCTAAGGCCGTCTCTCCCCTCCTGGCTGCAGATTCGCCATCGCGGGCCTGGGGGAGTGTGTGTTTGTGGAGCCCACCCGACTGGTGTCGACGGAGTGTCTGATGACCCGGCCCTGGGTGTGCAGCAAGATGGCCTACACCACCTGAGCGGTCGGCCCGGGAGGCCCTGCGCCCAGGCCAAGGGAGCTGCCTGCCGGGGACCTGCTTCCAGCTGGGGCCGCTGCCTTCCTCAGCCAAGCCATGGGGGCGGCCTCTGTGGGTCTCTCTCCCAGGTCCCTGAGCTCTGAGCCCCTGTTTCCTGGTGTCCTCTGTCCCCAGGCAGGTCCTGTGGCTCGGCAGTGAAATTCCATGTGCTAAATAGCATAGGCACCTACCCCCGTGCACACACACACACAAGCACACGTGCACACATGCACACGTGCACACACTCACACATGCACACGCGCAGACCCTTCATGCTCAGAGTCCATCCTTGGTCACCCACAAACCCTTCCTGGCCCCTGGAACTTCTGTCCTCACTGCGGTCCTGGTGCTCTTGGGAAGGATGGGGTGACAGGGACCCGTTCGTCCCGAGGCCTACCCTTCCCCAGGGGCGTCTCTCCTGGCTGCTGGGAGGCAGGTGAGGAGTCTTGCCCTTGCCTTGGCCCACCAGCCCAGGCCCCAGAGGCCCCCTGACCCCCTTTGCTGTGCCTGGGGCGCTCGGGCAGGCCCCTGCTGTGCCCGTGGTGCTGGTGTATTGGTCACTAACAGAATAAAGAGATGACCGGCATTCGAGAAGCCTGCTGCCATTTGTTCCAGGGTCCCAGTTCGGGGAGGGGCAGAGAGGGCCCCGTCTCTGGGTGCCAGCCTGGGGGGACGGCCACAGAGATGTGCTTGTTCCACGTGGCAGGTGGGGAGGTGCGGGAACTGAGGGCAGAGGCCGCAGTTTTCCCATGTTGCCAGAAGGCATCGGGAAGGCTCACCCTCCGTCAGGTCTTGTTTCTCAGGAAATTACCCAAAGCTTGCTGCCTGAGGCTGGCAGATTGGCCCTCCTGTGGATTTGCCCTGGGACGCACGCGTCTCAGTGCGAAGCAGGTACCCCGACCCGGGTCACCAGTGTTTTCAGATTTTTCCCACCTGCTTTCGACCGAGTAGTGAAATACCAGTTAGACCACACACAGGCACTTTGGCTTCAGAGATGGCAGATGACAGACGGCGGAAGCCCTTGCAAAGCCCACACACGCTGGTGGCTGAGTCCAGCTGGGTTGCCTTAATCTTGGCGCCCATGCTGTGCGCTCAGTAGCCAGAGGTGGCAGCACTGAGGAGTCCGGGAGACTGCCGGGACAGAGGGGGCCTCGAAGGGAAAGGACATCGGCCCTCCGCAGCCGAGCCGGTTCTTTCCCTGGGCGCTGGGTCGTCATCCTACTTTCCCTAGTCGCCTGGAGAGTAAGAACGACTTCAAGACCCAGCTCCAGCCTCCCTGAGATGCCTTCTGGGACAGTGGCAGCCTTGGGCGAGCCCTGAGCGAGCATCCCTGGTGCCTCCAGCACTTAAATGGAACTTTTCTTTAACAAAAGAATTATTTGTTTATTTAATTCCGTTTGTTATTATTATTATTTTAATTTGACCAGAGAGAAACATATATATATATATATAATTTTTTTTTTTTTAACCACAGGGTACATGCACTTGTCAGAGAGAGAGGGGGAAAGAAAGAGAGAAAGGGAAACTAAGAAATCATCCCCCCCCTACTCTGGGGAAATGGCCATGCCACAATCCCTTCTTCATTCTCTTCTCAGGATTTTGGGCATGCACACACATGTACCTGGTCTGTTTTTACCAAGCTGCCAGGTCTGGGACTCAAACCATGCACTTAGCCATGTGGAATCCAGTTACCACAAATACCATGCCACCTGGCTGGCCTGAGTTGGAGCCTTTTATGAGACACTGGGTCTGTGTGGCCTTGTTGTCTTGTGACTAGTCTCTTCACATCACCTGATGGTAAGCCCCGAGATAGCGAAGGCTGAGTTGTTGGTCTCTAGTGGTGCCCACTTTTGTCGCATATGACGGTAAAATTGCCCACAAGGGCCATCTTCCAGCCGTCCTCCATGTGGGTGGGGCAGCAGCTGGCCATTGTCAGAAGGCTTGTCTTCTGACTCTGGCGGGCATGGCACACGGTCAGGTCACAGCCTAACAAACTCGTTTCGTGGATGTGAAGGGTGCTCACCTGCATTCCCAAACACACACCTCCCGGTGGGCTGAGGCTGGGGTGGCCAGAAGTCCAGGGGTGATTGGGGGGACGCTGCCTCGGCCTCCAGAGTCCTCTGCATCAGCCACATGCCAGCGATGAGGAGGCAGCTAGGAGAGGAAACCAGGCCCAGGGACTGCTGTCATCAGTGACAGGTCCTGAGGCCACGGGATGACCGAGCTTGGATGACATCACACATTGTTCGGTGAGAGACCACCCGGTTTCAGAAGTGCTTGCTGTCTGCTGTGTGTTTGCACCAGGAGGGGGCGGGCACCACCTGCTTCCTCCTCTGGTCCGTGGCCTGCTCAAGAACTACATATGAGGGGAACCAGCAGTTAGTGTAATGGCTATGTCGCTGGACTCCCACGTAGTCAACCGCGGTTCGCGTCCCGGACCCGGTGGCTTAAAACTCACGCCGGGTGCGTGTGTGTGCGTGCCCAAGATCCCGAGAGGGGAATAGAGGAGAAGGGATTGCGGCGTGACCATCCCCCCTGGGGGGTGATTTCTCGCTTTCTGTCTCTATGTCTCTCTCTGTCTGTCTGGAGAGCGCACGCACCCTATAGCAAAAATCTCTCCAAAAAAAAAAAAAAAAAAGAACTACATATGAGGATGGGATGCAAATTGGGGACACTGAGAAAGCCCCCGCTAAGTCCATTGGAGACCCTGCCTCTCTGCCAAGGTGACCTGGAGTGTCACACACCAGCCTAAGCTCCCCAGACCTGCTTGAATCTGGGTGTGGTTCTGCCACGATCGGGGGTGTAACTCAGGCCTCATGGGGCCTCTCAGACCTCAGGCTTTATCTCTCTACAAGGAGAGATGAAGGAGTAAGGCCTGCCTGCTGGCCTCGCAGGGGGTTGATAGTTATAGACGGTCATATTCTAGGGGTTAGAAATGATCTACCCCCTTCTCACTGTCCCCGCGGTGCAAGGCAGTAAGTAACACACCCAGGGTATATGGCTAGTGGCAGGACTAGAACTCAGGTCTCGGGCTCTCCATACCCAGCGTATGCGCTCAGCATGGCGTGGCTCATGCCCAGGTTATCATGCACTTACCTGTCACTCAGTGGAAGTGGAAGTACCCGGAAAGGGGCTCTATCCCCACCCCCACCCCCCAACCCCCCGGTGTGTGCCTGGTATGTACGGAGGGAGTTCAATAAATGTGTGTTAAACTAACCTGAACTTGGCTCCTAGTCTGAGTGCTCGTTTCTCTACACCGTGTTGTTCCTGGCACCAGCAACTTGCGCTTCTAATTCCGCTGCCCGAGTATGAAACTTGTTGGAGTTTTTGAGAAAAAGATAAGCCAGATGCTCAAAGGTCTTATGATATCGATTAGGGGCCTGTGGTCTAGAGCACGGAATCCTCAGCAGATATACACACATCGAAGACAAAACTGGAATCATAGTAATACCTTTAATTAAGAGCTATTATGGGGCTGGCACGTGGTGTGGTGGCTAAGGCACTGGGCTCCCACATGGCTGACCATGGTTCGAGTCTTGGATGTGGTAGCTTGCTTTCTCACTTTCCCTCTCTCTGGTCAAATCTAAAAAGTAAATTAATTAAATTAAATATTAAATAATTCCTTTTTAAAAAAGGAGCTATTATGAGCCACATGCAAAGCACTGCACAAATGAAGTGTGTAGCACAGGGCCTGTGCACAGTAAGAGCAAACTGACAACCGTGTCAGGTAACTGCACACCGAGTCGGAGATTGCCGGCGTGGAGCAGCTTCTGCAGGAGTGCTCAGATTTCAGAGGGTCAACGAAACAAAGAGCTATTTCTTGCTGACCTCACAGACTGCTGCAGGTCAATGATAGAGAAGAGCTTTGTTCCCTCTAGGGCCTTAGAAACACATTAGATGTGTGGGACCAGCAGTTGGCGTAATGGCTGTCGCTGGACTCCCACGTGGTCAACTGCGGTTCAAGTTCCGGACCTGGTGTCTTGGACTCATGCCGGGCGTGTGTGTGTGTGCCCAAGATCCCGAGAGGAGAATGGAGGAGAAGGGATTGCAGCGTGGCCATCCTCCCGGGGGGTGGATTTCTCACTTTCTGTCTCTCTATCTCTGTCTCTCTCTGTCTGTCTGGCAAGCGCATGCGCCCTATAGCAAAATAAAAAGAAAAGAAACATATTAGATGTGTTTTTTTATTTTTATTTTTTATAGATTGCTGAGATTTTTTTTTCAGTTATTGTTATTTATTTAAAACAGAATGTGTTAACATGCAAGAGAGAGAGAGGGTGAGATGGATGCCCTCCGCAGGAATTGTCATGCCATCATCCTCTTCAGTCCTCCAGCCCAGAGGATCTTGGGCACTTCTGCGTGTGCCAAGCATAATTCAGGCTGACCGGGCAGAGGATTTGAACTGTAGTCACCATGTGGGGATCCTGCTTATTGGGTTGATTCTATTTGGGTTTCTTTGTATTTCTTGGGTCTAGATCTTCGAGTGCCTCTTTAGGTTTGGAAAGTTTTCTTGCAGGATTTCATGGAATAGATTATCAATGTCCTTGAGTCTCTTCACCTTCTGGGATGCAATTATCTGGATGTTTGGGTGCTTAATAGTATTAGTCTTATATATTGTCCTTGTTCTTCTTCGTTATTTTCTCAGTCTTTTTTTTTTTGGAGAAGTTTTTGCAATAGGGCACGTGTGCTCACCAGACAGAGAGAGACAGAAAGTGAGAAATCACCTCCCGGGGGGATGGCCACACTGCAATCCCTTCTCCTCCGTTCTCCTCTTGGGATTTTGGGCACACACGCACACGCGCCCGGCATTCTCAGTCTTTTTTGATAATTTGTTCTAGGTCAGAGGTTTTGTCTTCTACATCTGAGACTCGATCTTCTGCGTGATCTAATCTGCTTTTAATACTTTTGAGGGAGGTTTAGATTCCCTGTATTACAGTCTTCGTCTCTAACAGTTCTACTGGATTCTTTTTTATGATGTCTATTTCTTCTTTCAAATTGTGAAAGATTTGATGAGCTCCTCGTCTCCTGGAGCTCATTGTCTCTTTTCTCTTACATCTTCTGGACTTCATTATCTTTTTTCTCTCACGTCTCATTTAGTTTTGTCCCTATAAATATTCTGAATTGTTTATCTGATATTTCTATGAGTTCCATAGTATTGTCTGTGGGTGATAAGGAATT